GTTTTTATTTTCGAATTGTTATTCTCATTTTTTGAATTGTTGTTCTCATTTTTCGAATTGTGGTTCCAAGTCTTTGAATTCTAGCTTTCATCGTTCGAATGATTGTCTTCGTCTTTCGAATTGTTGTTATTATCTTTCTAATTATTGTCCTTATCTTTGAAATTGTTGTTCTCATTTTTCGAAATGTTATTCTCATCTTTCAAATTGTTGTTTCCATTTTCGAAATTTTGTTCTCATTTTTCGAATTGTTGTTCTCATTTTTCGAATTGTTGTTATCATCTTTCGAATTGTGGTTTTCATCATTCGAATTGTTGTTCTCATCTTTCGAATTGTTGTTATCATCTTTCGAACTGTTGTTTTCATTTTCGAATTGTTGTTCTCCTCTTTCGAATTGTTGTTCTCATCTATTGAATTGTTATCATCTTTTGAAATGTTGTTATCTTTCGAATTCTTGCTTTCATTTTCGAGCTTTTTATTCTCATCTTTCGTATTGTTCTATTCATTTTTGAATTGTTAATTTTTCAGAATTCATTTTTGTATTATTCTCATTTTTCGGAATATTTTCCTAACTTTTCTAACTGTTCTAAATCCTTTTTCGAATTATTTTTTATAATACAAATATCTGTACTTATTTTATAGGCTAGTTCTCATATTTCAAAGTGCTGTTCTCATTTTCTAACGCTTGTTTGAATTTCGAATTGTTCTCATTATTTTTCGAACTATTCTCATCTTTCGAAATGTGATTCACATCTTTCGAACTGTGATTCACATTTTTCGAATTGTTCCCATTTTTTAAATTGTTGTTTCAATTTTTCAAATTTTCTCATTTTCTGGACAGCTGTTTCCATTTTTCGACCTAATGTCATTATTCATTGTTACAAATGTTATTAATATTATAGAAATTAATATAGATGTTATAATTAATAATATAGATCTTATTAATAATATATATTAATATAGATGCTATTATTAATAATAGAGATATTAATAATGATGTTATTATTAAGAATATAGATTTTAATATAGATGTTATCATTAAGAATATATATATATATATATAATATAAATGCTATTATTAACAATATCATCTGTAAAACCAAACAGATTCCTAAGAGGATATTTGTCGATCAATGAATTTTCGAGAACAACTGTTGTCTATCCCCCATATCCCCATGCTCTGAACTTCTTACCTCTTTCTTTTACTATAATGGAGAGCTCCTCGGGATGAGACTTTGGATAATCGAATTCAAGTTCCAGTTGTGGTCATTATATTCACTTATGTTATTGGAAAAGGTATGGATTCATCTCCCCCAGGTATGAGTTAAATAGTTGGACTTTTATTGGCAAAAATCATTGTTATTCTCGAAAAAAAAATTGTTAATGTAATATTTATTAGCAAAAGAAGAAGAATTATTATTACAATACAAAATATGTTTCTGCTTTAAATAAGCTAAAAAGTGTTGATAAGCCGTAAAAAATCAATCAACCAATCATCCACTTACGGCCATACAAAGATCTTATTCAGTAAACGTCTACCTTGAGTAGCTCTTGGGCATTGAATTGTTTGGACAGTAGTAAGAAAAAGTTAAGGATTCGTTAAGCTATACGTGTGAATACAAAAAGCTCAACTGGGCCATTCCTGTAAGAAAAAGAATAAAAAACATAACGGACAAAAAGGGTTTAAACATTGATAAATAGAGTTAAAGCTCTACGGTTTCATGCTTCTTGTTGAATTCAATCTAGTTGGAGTCAAGTATCTCCAAAGCAACTGCTAGAAGGAAAACGTAACCATATCAAATGACCTGCAAACTCTTTGTATCGATAATCTTAAATCTTATCTTCTTTGTTCTATTCGCAACATTAGCGAGTGCCGTCTTCTGTTAAGACGTTTATTCCCAATTGCTGCAGGCAAAGCAGGTTGCAACTGTATGCGGTCCACGACTCGATATTTAAGGGCAATAGACCGAGAAGCGTTGCTCACTATAAAAAGGGCGCATTGTTTGTCGGTTTTCGAATAAATAGATTCACGTCCTCTAGTCAAAGATTTCGGCTAAGAATTACGAGCGGGGTGTCTTTCACGTTGACATAAGGGCGTCAAGATCTAATTAACATTTCCACAATCCCGGTATTGATCAAAAGAGAATTTCAAAATGTTGTAGATGCCTATAAAGAAACTGTCACAGTTTTAATGTTATGATGAATGGGCTTTTAAAAGACACGAATAACAGATATTATCGAAAGTCATGAACGCTCTTGGGATTGATAGTCGAGTGGCCTCTCGTTGTCTTCTTGGGGAAAGTGAGAAGAAACTCATAAACATCTATTGTAAGAATGTATTTGCTATATCGGAATAAAGTGTCGCACTAGAGGCGATCCTATTTCGAATAAGTAGATAACAAAAAGCACGGTGGTGTAATGGATAGCGGCTCGGATTGAGGAATCAGAGAAACGAGTTCGAATTCCAGTCGAATCCATTACATTTACTTACGTGCTAATATCCTTGGGAAAGGTATGCATCCTCCAGCTATGGGTATATACCAGATCGGATTCTATAGCTTTGGATGGCAATTGGTATTCGCAGAAAGAAATGGCAACCTATTGCGGGGAAAAAATCTGCTTCGTTAGTCATGTATCAAAAGATACATGATCGCCTAAGCGTATATCAAGCATGGCACATAAGTGAGATCACGTGATTGTAAAGGGAATGTATATATGGGAATTAGCGTGGCGTCTAACTGATCACTCTTTCTACACTATCCTATATTACTATTATGATCACTATTTCTACACTATCCTCTATTACTATACGGATCGCTATTCACTATACTATTTTTCTATGCTGATCATTAAATGGATTACTATTTGGGTCACTATTCGGTACTTACTTTTTGGGCGAGTATTATCGAGCAAGTACTATTAGTGCGAGTGATATTCAAAGGCGTCTGGCACCAGTATTGTTCAACGGCGTTACTAAAGTTTGTATCTACGATTATAACGAGCATTACGAAAGTAACAATGAGTATTCGTTGACATCACAAAATTATTGTTTTCAGCAAAACGAACATCCCAACATGCGAATTAAAATTGGAGATGCTAAAATCAAGCAAGAACAAATATTTAAATATTTAGGAAGTTTCTTAAAAGAGGAGGAAAGTGCGACACCGGAACCTGAAGCATTGTGATAGCGAAAGATGTTTTCCAAATGCTAAGCAAAGTATTAAGAAACGGACAAATGATCTTATCTGTCATTTATTCATCTAATAATTCTACTACTCTCTATTAATTTTTCTTTTATTTATACATATAGTACTATCATTTTTCTTTAACATTGAGGGATCCATAATTTCCCCCATACCTGATCGGAAAAAATATACCATTAATTTAGGGATCTCCAAAAAAAAAAAAAGAAAAAAAAGACGCGAAACCTAATGTTTGAAATGAAGTTTTGAAAATGAAAAATCTTTCTTGAAACTTTTATTTCATTTTTAATTTTGTGCTAATAGATGAAGGTTATTATTTCCAATAAACAAAATACTTTGCTGTCTTTCAAAAACAAATTTAAATTGAGTGGAAGGAGTTTGTTTCTTTTTCGCTAAAATAGCTGATTAGCGCCTTTTTTAATCGTCTTTCAACACAATGTAATTCTCCTTATTAAAAATCTCTCAAAAATAAAATATACTTTTCAGAAACTTTATTTGAGAAATATTAACTGATTTAAAATGTAATTAATCTAATTTGGTACAGAGAAACATAATGTAGACTAGAAACTAAGGAAAAAAAATGTTTAGCCGTGAATAACGAACTGTTTTCAGCAAAAGCTAATGTTGCCGCTGCTCCTCCTGCTACTCCTCTTGATGTAGGAGTAATTTTATGTCTTTCGTCTGACGGCCGAATCCAAACTTGTAGAGAATTATTCTCCCTCACAACAGAAACAAAGAAAATAGTATTTAATACACGTCATCTTATGTGGCAGTGAATGCTGGATAATCTTATCACTTATGAAAAAGAGACTTGAAACAAGAAAAACAAAGAAAAGAGTACTGAACTCTTATGTCACAGATGAAGAAGAGACTTGAAGCAAAAGAAATGTGGTTCTAGAAGGATGCTGGGAATGCCATTGACTGAGCGTGAAGTTAAGAGAAGCAGTCCCCAAACACCGGAACTGTGCACCGGTACAGGGCACCGGTATCGGGCCGTGGACCATTTGCTACCGGGCCACAGGAAGAAAGATTTAAAACTTTCATTTTATTGACTATCGCGGTCTTGTTTATTTATTTTTGTTATGTGCGTGACCGTTACCACCCCACCCCGAGGTCTGTGGGGAATGTTGCCTGGCATGACACCAGTCCGTGGGTCAAAATAGCTTAGGACATCTGTTTTCGAGAAAGTACTGATTTTGCTGATAGAATTATGTAAGTATAAGAAGAAGATGAGGAGATATAAAAACACAAAAGTCTTTAAAAATTAATCTGATAGGAAACGCTAAAGATGTTGGAAGACTGAAATTTAGAATTTTTAAATTTATTTTAGTTAATTAAAGTATACATGTAGAATGTAAAGACCACAGCCTCACCGCGCCAGATGTTGCTGCTATGGTTTGCTTAGCGAATAGATTTTTTTTTTTTTTAATGTTTGACAACAATAGCTAGAGAACGCAGTTAGTGTTTCTATTTAACCTGTAGGTGTAGAGAGCAAGAGATGAACTCAAATCTCTACTGAAGTGTATTCGTGCAAAATTGAACACGACGAAGTCTACCAAAATTTGAACTCGGCACGACAATTTAACTGTCGGCACTGATACTCACTACAGTACGCCCGCATTTATGGGTGTCGATAATTAGTAAAGACAGAGGTTCTACAGAGTGATCTTTGGAATAGTTAAGGTTATTCTTCAGGTAGACACCTCATTACAAATTTGCAATATGATTGCCTATTCTGTGAGCGCTTATTACCTTCTGCGATTCTAATATTAAAGATCGATTCATGTCCCGTTTCATTTGTCAGCGGTGTAGGCTGTAGAGAGAAAAAAAATGGAGAAGGGAATAAAGCTGGTATCGGGGAAAGTGAGTGGTTAGATGGATAAGTGGGAAGAAAAGTGGGGAAAGCTTGAAAAAAAGAGAGAGGGAAAAGAAGATAAAAAGAAGTGCGGGATAGAAAAGATTGAGAAGAGCGATGAAATGCCAAGCAGAAGTCACAATTGAAAAAAGAGGAAGCACAATTGAAAAAAAAAGAGGAATAAAAATATGTAAAACGAAGAAAAAGAAGAAGAAAAAACGAACGATCGAAAAACAGAAATTAATAAGTAAAATGAAAAAGAGAATGAGGAAAACGATTAATGAAAGATTGAAGAAGGAAAAAAGCAATGAAAGTGAATATTTAAAAGAAAGAAATAAATAAAGAAAGAGAGAAGGAAAGGAAGGAAAAAAGAGCAAGAAATTTACAGGGAATAATAAGAAAGCTATATATAAGGAGGAAATATAATAAGTAAAAAAACTGAATTAAAGACTAGGGAAAATGTATTTGAAAGAAAGAAAGAAAATATGTGGGGAATAAATATATATATATATATATATATATATATATATATATATATATATATATATATATATTTCCACATATTTTCGTTATATTTTCATTCTTTCTTTCAAATACATAAGAAAAAAAAAATAAGTAAAACAATGAAATGGAATATGTAAAAGGAAGGAAGGAATAGAAAGAAATGTATTGTGAATATTAAGAGAGGGATATATAAGGGAAAAAGAGAATAAGTAAAAATAATGAAACTCTAGGCAATATATAAAAAGAAAGAAAGAAATATGTGGGGAATAGATAGATAGATAGATAGATAGATAGATAGATAGATAGATAGATAGATAGATATGAACAGAATAAGATAGATAGATAGATAGATAGATAGATAATGAAGAAAGTGAATAACTAAAACAATGAATGAAAGACTAGGAAATATATAAAATATAGGTAGATTTTGAGAATAAAAAGCGTGAGTGAAATATATGAAAGAATGAACACATTGAAAGACGAGCAAATAGGTATGGGGGGGGAGAAAGAAAGAAATGATGACAGAAATAAAGAGAGAAAAATGAGCAGAGGATAAAGAGCCATCGACATATAGAAAAAAAAGGATGAGTAAAAACAATGAAAGACAAGGAAATAGGTATGAGAAAGAAAGAAAGAAAGAAAGAAAGAAAGAAAGAAAGAGAAAGAAAATTGATTGGGCACTAAAAAGCGAAAAATATAAGAAAAATGAGAATGAGTGTTAAAACAAAAGCAGAGAGAGAGAGAGAGAGAGGAAGAGGGGATACAGATAAGACGTTTAGAAAGATAAAGGACTAGAGAGAGAGAGAGAGATTAATAAAGGGGTGTAGATAAAGGGTGATAGAAAGATGGGTATAGAGAGAGGAATAGAGAGATAGAGGTATAAAGAGAGATGGATGGAGAGATAGAGGTATAGAGAAATAGGGGGATAGAGAGTTAGGGGATAAAAAGCTAGAGAGTGATGGATAGAGAGAGGGGGATAGAAAGAGAGAGAGTAGGGAGAGAGGGATGAAGAGAGATGGATAGAGATATAGAGCGATAAAAAGTGGGTAATATATAGAAGCATAGAGATAGGCGGATACAAAGAGGGAGAAGAGAGAATGAATAGAGAGAGGGAGAAAGAGAGAGAGTGGAATAGAGAGAAAGCGGGATAGGGAGAGATGGATAGAATGATAAAGGGAGAGAGAAGATTCAGAAAGACAGAAAGATAGAGGGATAGAAAGACAGAGGTAGAGAGATATATAGGTAGAGGGATAGAGAGGGAGGGAATTGAAAGATAGCGGGATAGAGGGGTAGAGAGAGAGAGATAAGAAAAGAAAGCTAGAAGGATAGAGAGAGAGAGAATAGAAAAGGAGAAGGAAATGACAAATCTAAAGAGAACAGTCGTGAAAGAAAAGTTAAGAGAATCAGAAATCGGAAAGAACAAAAAAGTGAAACAGAAGGAAATAAAAAGAAGAATTCTGAAAGAGAATCGATCTGATCGGTTCGCAGAAAATCACAATAAGATATATAGATACTCTTTTAGATGGCGACTGATTTCCAATTACTGATCAATGGTTTTCGGCCATCACGTCCGAACCTTAAGGTCTATTTATCGAATAAGCAATATCGGTTAATCTGTTTTGACAGTCGTAACACAGCCAGGGCGCTTACATCCCGAAGGACACTAAATAACTTATCGGCATTGCTTAACATTGAATATAGGGCATGGAACCCAAGATACTAAAAGGCACCAAAGAACGTTTTATTTTTGCTGTTAACCCTCAGGAACGTGTCGCCTTTAGCATTCTTTATAATGCATTAGATCAGTGACTTTAGAAGAGTTCGATCATGTATGGTTTATAAATAATATACTTGAAAGTTTAATTTATTGACAACTTTAACGACATCAATTTAATCCCTCCATAACCTCTCTCTCTCTCTCTCTCTCTCTCTCTATATATATATATATATATATATATATATATATATATATATATAAATGAACATTGAAGTCAACACTTAGAGGCGACAGGCTGTTTCATGTTAGACGCAATCGTCAGGCCACGGCGATTGCGTCTAGCATGAAACAGCCTGTCGACTCTAAGTGGTGACTTCAATGTAAACATTTATATTTACACACGCTCTATCTCTGATATTGAGTACTTCATCCCATAAATATACCACACCTTAAAAGTATATTTCTTCACACACATATATATATATAAAATTATTTACATTATTCGGACTATTGTCCTCATCTTTGTCGCCATATTTATTACAACGTTTCGGCCGTTGTACGGCCCGGCCTTCTTCAGGTGGTTGGAATGTCAAACTTAACCCCTTATTTCGCTCACTGGGGTAGACTGTTCTAGTTCCACGTGCCATGTTTAATGGATGTCAGTTATCTCCTGTTAATTTTCCCGCCTGAAAGTTCTCCACTGCCTTAACCGGGTATTGAACTCACAATCGTTGGGTCCTGTCACTGGATCTAACCAACGCCTTTATCCACTGTGCCATGTGTCCTCATGGGTTTAGTTCGACATTCCAACCACATGAAGAAGGCCGGGGCGTACAACGGCCGAAACGTTGTAATAAATATGACGACAAAGATGAGGACAATAGTCTGAATAATGTAAATAATGTACATAATACCTCATCTCAGAAATATAGACAGATATATATATATAACTTGTATGGATATGAGTTTGTGACCATGGGTTTCATGCTTTTGCGATCATCAGACAAACTAGATAATTTTTTTAAAGTGGATCTATTTATGATTGTTTGACTATGTTTGGTGATGAGAGGGGGAATCTATTTCTGTGTTTGGGGTGACACTATCATACGCATAGAGACGCACATACAGGTGTACGCATTTTAGTTCACACGAACACATCCCTATAAGCAATCCGAGGCTAGGCGCAGATATATATGCGTGTATGCCCGAACGCATTGATATTTTTTTATATATAATTTATTATTATTTTATATAAACAGTACTTACTGGAAAGTGCTCAATATCAGTGATAGAGCTAACATAATCAGTTGTATGGATATGAGTTTGTGACCCAACGTTTCACGATTTTGCGAACTTCAGACATTTGACTGATGATCGCAAAAGCATGAAACCCAGTGTCACAAACTTATATACATACAACTGAATATATATATATATATATATATATATATATATATATATGTATGAAAATTTCTCCGATTTAATCGGTAGAGAAGACAGAAGATCCGTTATGCGTTTCTTCTTGCATTGTGGATATCTGTGTGTAATCGGAGAAATTTTCATATTTGTCGACATGGAAAACAAAAAAAACTTACACACAGATATCCACATATATATATATATATATATATATATATATATATATATATGTATGTATATATATATATATATATAGGTAAATAAGAAAATAAAGGCAATGGTTGAGTAGTGCGTCCATACGTCTAACCTATTTTATTGTTCGTACACGACAGAACAATGAAATACTGGGCGCATCTATTTGCTCGTCATTACATACGCACGAATAGTGTCGCGCGTCAGTGCCTTCCTGTAAATTCAAAATTGCCTTTTGTTCTCTCCTCTCTCTCTCTCTCTCTCTAATACATACATACATACATATATATATATATATATATATATATATATATATATATATATATATATATATATATATTTCAATAAAGGTGCAATTAATTTACAAATTCATGAATTATTCATACAAAAAAAACAAATACAAAGGTTAATGATTTAATTCCATCGTCGCGAACAATTCAAATAATATACAAAAACCCCCGAACCTGTTTATGAATGAAAAGATCCTTGTTTTTATAAATTTCTGTTGCATAAGTTCTTATTATTTTTACAAGCTTTCGTCCGTTCCTACAGACATCCTCAGGTATGGAATAGATTTTGTTCTTGTTTTTACTCTCAGTAATAAGTTTTTTGTATATTATTTGAATTGTTCGCGACGATGGATTTCTCGCCAATTAAATCATTAACCTTTGTATTTGTTTTTAGTATAATTCATGAATATATATATATATATATATATATATATATATATATATATATATATATATATAAGCATGCGTGTGTGTGTGTATGTCTGTGTCAGAAATGAAAAGAAGAAAAACATACCAAAACGTTTCGTTCATTGTGGAAGGTTATCAAGGTAAGTGTACAAATTTTATTTAGTAATTGTATTTCGACAGAAATAACGTGGAAGAAAATAACATTAAATTTTGAATTAGAGAACGTCCTAAAACAAAATAAAAAATAGATTATGGCTTAAATTTAATTTAATAGAAAAGAATGCAATGGCTTCTATTGTCAACCGTGAAAATAAGACATTTAAAACTATGTAAATGCTTCCAAAACCATATTTGGAAAGTTGTTAAAGAAGAGAAAGTATACTGATTTGCAGCTTCTTTTCAAGTCAAAACAGGTGTGATGATGATAAAGTTAAACTATGGAGGACTTTAAGTAACATAAATTTTGTTATATTAAACACCATTGAATTAATATGGTTCTTATTATTATAAAAAAAATTTCTTGTCATTTACTTAATTCACATTGTTTTTATTGTTATAGACACATTTATTTACATCTGAATGTTTATGTACACTACACATGAGAGGTTGATAAGCCGTAAACAAAACAATCAATCATACACAAGTATATGCCAATTTAAAAAGAATATATATATATCCCAGAAATGTAATGTCTTTACAGTCATATATATATATATATATATATATATATATATATATATATATATATATAAATATATAAACTTTGAAAATCATGTCATTTGAATCCGCTACCTTGGTTTCAATCTTACGATATCCTCAGGCGTAAGGTTGAAACCAAGGTAGCGTACTCCACTGACCTCCTGATTTTTAAAGTTGAAAGCTATACATGTTATTTTTACTTTTATTTTATTTTTTCACACGTGTATTGAGCACTTTTTAATACTTCTGTTTCCTGGTCTGATTCAACTCTGAACATTAACCTTTATATATATATATATATATATATATATATATATATATATATATATATATATATATATATTTATGCTCTACTTTTGTATTGAGCACTATTTTTTAAAAATAATAACTAAAATACTAAGGGACTTTGGATTATTTACCTAACCAGTTCCTTCCTATTTTCTATATATTTTCACACACACACACACACACACACACACACACATATATATATATATATATATATATATATATATATATATATATAATTTTTTATTTAAAATTATAGCATAAATATGTTATAAAATCACTACAAAAATAACCAATGTAGTGATTTTATAACATATTTATGCTATAATTTTAAAATAAATATTTATATTCGTTCTACTCTGTATTGAGCACTCTTTTAAGAAGAGTAATTGTTGGTTATTGAATTTATTCCGTATACACCAATCATATACTTCGGTTTATATATATATATATATATATATATATATATATATATATATATATATATATAAAATTTATTGGTTTCAAGGTAAAAAATCTGTAGAATTAAAAACATGATATATCAAATTAAAGCACAAAATAGAGATTCCAAAATCTAAAAAGTTCAGCAATTTAAATATCTGGAAAATGTTTTGATAGAGGACTGAAAGTGCGACACTGAAATCCGAAGGCCCATTGCAATAGCGTAAGATGCCTTTCAAAAGATAAGTAAAGTATAAATAACAGGAAAATTTCGTTACAGACAAAAAAAAAAACAAAGAGTACTGAAATGTTACGTAGCATCAGTCTTACTATATGGCGGTTAATGCTGGATAATCTCCTCACAGGTGAGAAAGAGACCTAAAGCAATAGAAATGTGGTTCTACAGAAGGATACTGAGAATACCATGGATTGAGTATGTGATCGACTGCGGAGCTTTGGAGAAAATGGAAACAAAAAGGAAACACATACTTCACATCAGAAAAAGACAATTGAAATTTCCAGGGCACATAATGAGGACAGAGGGTTGGGAAAATCTGATACACACAAGACAGGGTGAAGGCAAAGGGGTCATAGGAAAACGACACAACGAGCTTGTTTAAGTTGATATCAGCACGGGGTTTAGAAGAGATAGCAAAAAGACGAAAATTTATTACGAGCAATGTACGGGAATGTACGATAGACTGTGCTATTGAATTGTATTATTGTCATTATTTTTTTATATTCAAATGCATATTTTTTCAGGATGGTCCAATATATATATATTTGATGAATATGCGGAGAAGCTAAGGGTCATTTTATTAATTTGATCTCATTGAAAATTTTTTTTTTTTTTTTTGTCAATGTGAGAAATTGACAGCTTGGTGGAATGTGAAAATTATAATCTTGAAAGAATAGACATTTTTTGCTTAAAGCTTTTTCGATGTTAACTGCGCTAATTTATTGAATAAGTGTTGCCGTATTTATAAGGGGAGATTGCACAATATCGGAGATAGAGCGTTTACAGTGTGGACACAGGAAACAACACTGCATGGCAGCTGTCAGTTTCACGCCACAAACGATCTTCAATTTGAGTCTCTGAATGTCGTATGGGTCGTGAAACTGATAGTATTTTTTCAGTTTTTTTTTTTAAATAAGGATAGCTATAAAATGAAACGGACACCATGCAATGTTGATTCCTATATCCACTCTTCCTCACTCTTTCACTTTCCTACTATCTA